TTGTAGGGCTGAAACTCGACGTGAAATTTCGTCCGAACTTCTTAAAACTTCCAAAACTTCTAAGGCCGATGTCAGACTTTGCGAATCGCGCGATTCGCTACTAGCGATTCGCGCGATTCGCTAGCGTCCGCGGTCGCGTTGCGGTACCAGCCAATTGAGTGATTCACTGGCCGCGACGCGACCGCAGACGCTAGCGAATCGCGCGATTCGCAAAGTCTGACATCGGCCAAAGCCTACTACATTTTCATTTTTCAAAACCCTATCGAAGTCAAATAATCCTAACCCGAAAATGTACTGTTAATTCCACCCAGTGCGGCTTTCCAATAGAGGAACTAGAAGGTCGTTAACTTTGGAGTCTACAGGTCAATCCGAAGATACAACAAAGAAAAATTAGGATTACGGTAGACTGCCTCAGCTCCGCACCCCTCCGTGAAATCATGTCCATCAACAGAATACCTGATTCTGAATGAGTTCGTCTGCGTACCACTTCGACTCTGTTCATCACTTGACTATAGCGAGCGCTGCTGTACTTACGGAGAAGGGGAAGGTTGAGTCCTACCTAGGACTGAGCCTGAATGGTTAGAAGGGACCAGAGGGGGAATGCGTAAGCAATTTGCATTTTTACCAAAATTCATCCTCAGGCTCAGTTCGCATAGCGATGCCCCTCCCACCTACACTAGCCCAACTTCAAAATCATTGTCACTTGTTGAATTATGAGTTTATTCAACGACCACTAATCTACAGATCGTCAAACAAACCGCAAATTTAGTCATTACTCGCCGATTCCTCAACCCAACGACTGGTTGTTCAGCAAATACTTCTTGTATGATATCATGCCGGGTTGTATTGATAGCCAAACTCTGCGTGTGTTCAATCTTTTCGCGGCAGGACCATGTCAGGAATTTTATGTAGCCAGTTAGCAGTGGAATTTGAACACTGCCATCCACACATCTGCAACAGCGCTCCGATCGATTTCTTTGGCACAATGCCACACGCCGAGGCATCATTGCACATCGCTGTTCCCATAGATACATCTTTGTTATTTTATTCTACGATTTCTTTTGGGATAACTAAAAAGGCAGCCACATGCTGCCATGGGAAGGAAGGCTTGTTGGATATTTTTGTAGATTCACATAATGGACCCCTGAAATGAAAAAATTTGAGCGGAAATTCTGAATCCATTTGCTGGGCTGTTGGCGTGAATTAGTCAAGTCCTTTTTTATCCTTTAATCTCCTTCGTTATCATCTCCTTCTTTGATCTGAGCGGCAAAAGCTGCCTCAATTTCTAAGGATCGGGACCATTATATAGTGCTTCCTAATTCCTGCAGCAGTTGTATCTGCCCGAATCCATTGCAAATAAACTATTATAGAACTCGTTACTGTATACACGAGTAGCATGTTGGATAATGGAGATAGTAATTAAATTTTCTTTTTCCAGAGCCTCGAGGCTTGTCTGGGCAGCGACGGCGCTGGTTCTCAAATGGCTTCTGATGCCGAAATCGCAGCCTTTCGAGCTAGAAAGGTCGCACTAATTACGGGCATCTCTGGACAGGTGAATGTTTATTCTAATTGGGTCATAGGCGGGAGATGTTCGCAGGAAACGAGACGAGATTGTTCTTTTCAGGATGGATCTTATCTCGCGGAACTGTTGCTATCTAAAGGCTACGCAGTTCATGGTGTAATTCGTAGATCGTCATCGTTCAATACGGCACGTATCGAACATCTTTATAGCAACCCGATCACACATCGGGGTGAGTATTCCACTAGTTGTTTATGAAGCAGGGAACACAGTCGTAAACAACCACAAAATTCGCGTCAAACGTGTAGGTAATTCAGACCTCGGTCAGACTCGGCGATTGCGTCGCTGTACACCAGCGACGGAGCCGCCGGCGACGGAATCGCCGGCGACGGAGCCGCCCGGCACAAGAGTGGCAGCAACGGGCGATGACTCATCAGCACACGATCGATATCGGTTGGCAGGGGGAGCAACATGAACGATGGGTGAGGATGATTAATCTCCCCCTGCCAACCGATATCGATCGTGTGCTGATGAGTCATCGCGTTGGCTGCCCTTAGTGCGGGCGGCTCGTCGCTGGTGTATAGCCGGTCTTGGACCGGACGGTCCTCAAGGTGGGACTAGCGTTTCTGTCGCCGGAATGCTACTGTAGTCATGAGGCTACAGAACGTATTACTCATCCAATTTCTAAGGAGATTCAGCAATCATGCGAGAATTGAACGCAGCTTAATTATTAATTTTGTGTAATCTTCTGCAGAATTCACGTTAGGCGGAACGCAATCGATCTACGCGGGCAAAATTCTCTTCGCCGATTTTCCGATTCTCCCAAAACGCAAAATGTAAACCCTTCGTTAGACAGCGTTCATACTCAGCGAATAAACGTATCCTATCCCTCCCCCACAGGAATCGATCCCCGCCGCTGAACTTTCCTCAAAGTGAGGAGAAACAGGGTTGCGTCATAAGACACGCCATCAAACGAGTGATGCAGCTACCTCTCCTGCTGAAGCATTCTTATTTCGCGGTTGCGCTGTATGAGCGCGGGGCATGGCTGGTCCTATGGCGAAACCCTACCTCCACCAATCCTAGAATAGAATGAGCGGCAAGGCTTCCTTCCCCTGGGGTATGGATAGGATGCGGCCCATGAATATGCTGCTAACTGGAGCTAGTAGAGAAAGGCAGGCTTGGTGAATTGCATACCATCATTTCTATAAAGGCGAAAGAGCCGAGAGAACAAAAAAAGGGAATAACATACCTCCTAATATGTACTTCTGGTAAACACCAGTTTTTGCCGCGCACGACATCCTTACGCATTGCTTTTTAACATTGGAAGATGGGTCACCCGTAAGAAAACCACCATAACCCCGTCATCTAACGATCCATTGCCTAAATTCTCGAAAACTTCTAATTTTGATGTAAGCGATAACTGTCGAATCTGACATATGACTGCACCAAATCACTGGCGTTCCGCCCACTGGCCTAGCTCCGCACCGTCCATGCTCCTATCAAGCTTCCTTACACATTGTGTATGCTGTGGGAATTGAGTAATTTCTCACCGCCTGGCCTGCTGCGCGTCACCTTCCCTAGCCAGCGAACCTTCTCATTGCAAACAAACAAGCAGATAGCCAAACAGGCAAGCAGACCCACAAAACTGCTGATTTACGTAGTAGGATGACTTGTGATCTTACTTTCCATCTGCACCACTCTAGTTTCCTTCTATGTACTCCGCTAAAACCTGTTGACGCTACAAGGCTAACTATTGAGGCAAATGTGAAAGCTATGGCTCCATCCTCCCGTGAGGAGTTTAGTGCCAGTGGATCGAGATGGGAGAAAGTCTATGTAGGCTGGACAAATTTACCACGGGGATTTGATTACTGACCATGCGTGCGTTAATGGCGCTAATTACCACTGATTCACCTTCGCAGTGACCTTCAGTGTTACGTCAGTTACACTCATAAGAGCTAGATTCATTTGTAGGTGTGCTCAGTCTGTTATTCAAGATATTCAAGTAATAAGGGCGGAATATGAGCGAAGTGATAAGTTGCGGATACTACTTCATTCGGAGTTAAAGCAACAGTTCAGGGAGGGTCCGAAAATTTCAATGCCACTACTACTGAGGGATACACGAGCCCTAGTGAAGAACATATGCAGTGGAAATAATAAACGAACTTACCTCAGAAACTCAAAAACAGGGTGGAAAGTCCCTCAAACATGGGTGTTCTTGGGGATTTCCCCAATCCCGCCCCCTTGCCGGCCGTCATTGGACGCGTCGGCAATCGTGCTCGTTTTGGGACCACAGGGAAAATTGATTGAAAAATGGAGCGCGTTTACAGCGGGCACGTTCAGACAACTCGTCCAACGTGCGTCTTTATCCATTGCTGAGCGGCAGAGGGAGAGTACCTGTCTAAGACCCTCCCCGACGACGTTTTTTTCCAGTTTTTCATACATTAATCGTCTGGTTTTCATCTACAACTTCATTATTGGTGGTTTTTTCCCGCGAAACCGTTCCTGAACTGTTGCTTTAAATCAGCAGTCAATTCTTGCACTTTCCACGCCAGGCCCGCCACGTCTCTCCTCATTCCATTAACCATACTCAAACTTGTCTGGAGATAGGGTCCATTGATTTGTGCCCGGCATAGCACGCTCCAGGTGGACTGCCATTTAGAACGGACCTGAGGCAACCTGTGCTCTCGCTGGCCGCACTGTTTCCGATTCATTTATTAGAATCTATGGGCCGCCTTCATACCCATAAGGTTGGTGTCAGAGTCCGCGATCCGCCGCAGGTTATCCGCAGTTGATTCGCGCCAGATCGCAAAAATTGCAAGTGCCCCATTTGAACATTTGAAACACTGAATATGAAACAAGTGGAATCATGAGCAGTCGTCATTCAGCCATCACCATCAAGCAGAAGTGGCGGCGGGATTGGAGAGCACCTCGCAGTATTGATCGGGCAATTGTGATTTCTGTGACCGTCGTGCGAATCGCGCGAAACCTGCGACGGATCGCGGACTCTGACACCAGGCTTAACATTGAGAGATCCGATAATCAGCGAAAAAATTTGGTCATGTACTGATTCAACCCTCGACTCTTTATACAAGGTCAAATCCGTCGGGTATGTGTCTCAAGTCTTTTCGGCGGATTCTCGGTTCTCCAAAGCCGCAGGATACGATTTGATTGAAGATTCACAATAAAATATGCAAAGTGAAGAAGTATCAACAAACCTGCCTCGAGCGAGCTACAAGACTTCTGTATTCACGTGATAACGAAAAACGCTACAGTCGATATCTCGAAGTCTGATTGGGCGTGTCACCGGAAATGACGTGGCAGCCACCGCACTTGATAGATGTTGTGTGGATAAAATACTCCGCCAGATATCAGCAAAGCGTGTTGGAAGCAGCTTATCCGCGCAACTTCTATCAAGTGCGGTGGCTGCCACGTCATTTCCGGTGACACGCCCAATCAGACTTCGAGATGTGGAACTGTATGCACACTTTGCTATACACCTTTGACAAGTTTACGGCTCTTGTCTGCCCTTATATAAGGGAAGATCGTCAGTTCTTCCCGTTTTGCAGGTAAAAACACGTTTATCGTGCCACAAGCTTATGTTTAGCTGTAGTCAATTTGAGCACGCTAGATACAAGTGATCAATAGTAGTCGATTCAAAACAGGTTTCAACCCCTTTTGACGATGGTGTGAGTGGCAAGATCTCGAGCTGAGAAGGAACTACAAACGGTTGAGCACATGGAACATAAATTGTGATCACAAATGAGAACAAAAATCGGACAAGGTGAAACCCACGGAGTGATGAGGGACCAAGATGAAAGTGAATTAAAAGATCACACAATGCGCACGACTAGCGAAAAATATGGGTAGATACCTAAACAAATGGGGAACATGCTTTGTGTGTTTGAAAGGGTGTCCAAGAGCTGGTGTCCTTCAGTTGCCTAGTAATCTGTGTGGAAGTAGGTCAGGGTAGCCCGATATTGGCGTAAACCTGATGACCTGTATTGTTCAACCAGCTGATCTCAAACCTGCGAAATTCTACCAAATTCATATGTTCTTGCTATATAAATATTAGGCCTTGGCTCAAACCACAATGCATTGCGCCACGCATTTAACTTGCAGTTGGAATCGAGGACAAGGTGGGGTGAACCGCTTTTCACTAATACACGCATGACGCTGCGAGGGTCTTTGTATGTTGGCAAAGCAATGATTTTACCCTTTCTAGGGAGTCTAGATCAATGCAATTGCGATTATTACTAGAAGGTTTTAAGTTGTTTCCGAGTGTTAACTTTGTTTTGGTTGCAATTCGCCTTGCGAAACTTTCACAAGAATGCTGGGGTTATGAACAAAACTTTCGCCCCAGGCGGAAATCCAATCCTGCTCTTTTCCTCGTACCGGGACGGCATTTTGCCCTAACTCAGCTTTTCATGATCTGTTTACAATAGCTTATGATAGAAAGCTTTGTTCACCTCGACAAGGTTCTAACCGAGATTTAGCCACCGAATCGTGGGTGTGGTAAACGCCGCGTTATGGAAAAAGGCTAAGAAATGTGATGCTGTTCGTATAACTAACGTCCAACCAAAATCAAATGCTTTCAGGAGACTCCTCATTCGCTTTACATTATGGTGACATGACCGACTCATCTTGTCTAATTAAACTTATTTCTAAAATTCAACCTACAGAAGTCTATCACCTTGCTGCACAATCTCACGTAAAGGTAATTATTACGTGAACCTTTTGGTTAGTTATTCCGGTGAAACTCCAGTTCGGGGGGGGGGGGGCACTCCATTTTTTCTCCAATACTCAAGATAAGGATTAGAGGGCTCACGACACGTAATCGACTCATTTAAAGTAGACTTCTGATAAATATTGGTGTAATGGGTGAGAAACCCTGAAACGTTTTCACATTTCCGCCTGCCATGACCCAAGGGAACGGTCCTGGACCAGGAGAAAGGACACCTCCGCAAAGGGCTAAGGGTGCAGGAGCTCCAGGGTGGATCACCTGTGCAGAAAAGTGGATGGGATGTGGGCAGGTAGTGTGGAATGTAGGACATCCACCGGTCCTTATCAAAAGTACGCTCGAAATGAGTCGTTCACTTAATCCGTATGTATCCGACTTATCTTATGCGTATGTGTCCGATAGCCCAAAGAACTGCTCTCTAGTACCTTACGTGAATAGATAGCAATGGATGCCCCCCCCCCCCGAACTGGAGTTTCACGTTAGCTCTTAGACAATTCTTCTCATTACTACATTTAGGTATCGTTTGATTTACCTGAATATACAGCTGAAGTGGATGCAGTTGGAACCTTGAGATTGCTTGACGCTATCCATGCATGTGGATTGACTGAGAAGGTAAATTCACTACTTTTTCGAATTACTTTTTTTTCTCACTCCTGGCTATCTCCTCATTATATAAACCGCAATCCTGGTATTGTCGGTTTGTTTGTAAGTTTGTCTGTCTGTCCATCCGCAAAAAATGAGTGGATAATCACCTTTATGGATCAATTAGGCCGGAAACACACAGGGTTTGCCATTCCATGTGGCGCTCGGCGCAGGTTGGATTAGGGTGGGAGCACAGTAAGGCAAGACCGCAAAGCTCACATCTCAGTGCGTTGCCGACAAATCGGGTGTAAACATATTCGAAGGTTCGGCGGTCTATTCCAGGTTAGGGCGGCATCAATGGTGCAGCTGGCTCGAAGAACTAGTGTGAACTCGAACATTCAGCTTTTCACGCATGTCAAGTGACTGCCCTCATCCCACCTTCCTAGGCTGGCTACACTCCCCTGGCTCGGAATTACCCTAGCTTCCTGGAAAAACTGCATCATGATGCCCCCTAACTGGAATAGACCCGTAGTCGGTTTGCGGGACCTCCTTTTGCTTTTCAAATATTACAAAAATGCGGACACCGGCGTTCGGCTGTCCACTTTTGCGTTGTTTTGTAGTGCAGCTCCCTAATTCAAAAAGAAGAGGTGAGCTGTATGGCGTAGAACAGTCATTTTGTATTGCGCCGTGCATTCACGTGCTTTCGAAACTGAAGACACGATTAAATGCGCTTTGGACTGCGTAATTGTTAACGGGCTAACCGATTACAATTCATTGTTTTTATCTACTCGTACGAGTGGTACCAAAAACATATTCGTAGAGATGGAGGGCTCGTCTATCTTAAGCGCTATCCAAACTAGCTGGCTTGTAAACCGTGCGCGTTTTAAGCGGCGCAACTTTCTTTTGTCTTCGACTCACTTCTCTGTTATGGTGAGAAAAGTAATAGCTTGTTCCCATGTTTATTTTACCAGGTCTGGGTCATTTTAGGCAGTGGCTGCCACTCTAATCATCAAATTAATCTTCAACTTTTCTTTTTTGTTTTGTAAATGTACTCTCAAGAAATAGTGCTCATTTTTGTGGTCATTATATCTATTTTCTTTTTTCATCGAAAAGTTTCCATGCTCTGTGCGAATTTTAGGTTCGCTTTTACCAAGCATCAACCTCGGAGCTGTATGGCAAAGTTCAGGAAACCCCACAAAAGGAGACCACACCGTTCTACCCCCGTTCACCATATGGTATTGTTTATTGTTACGAAAATAATGGATTGATAGTGACAGTGAATAATTAACTCATTAGTAATTTTTAAGCTGTCGCTAAGATGTATGCTTACTGGATCGTCATTAATTACCGAGAAGCTTACAACATGTTTGCCTGTAATGGTATTCTTTTCAATCACGAGAGTCCAAGAAGAGGTCAGTTTCTCACATTGCTATTCTAGTCTCATTAAGGCCGCGTTCATAGTTTGCGACTCCGGAGATTAGGATAGTACGCGACAATGAAAAACATATGTATTGACGGGAGATTAGGATAGTAGTAGAGTAGGAGATTGCGCTGACAAGATTAGATACGTATCGAC